GTTGCTGTTTGACAACAAGCCTCTGTAATGGAGTGCATGAAAATGTGGGTGAATGGGAAATCAGGTACATAATCCTATAGAAAAGAAAGGTGAAGTGAAAGATTGACTTTCTAGTAGTTCTACCTTTTGTTTTATTTGATTTTTTTTAACCTTCCATCGTATATTAGCTTTTTAAATTTAATATTGGTATTATAATCTTACATGTATTTTTTCTTAGTTGTTCTTTGAGCAGCTTTTACTCTCCCCTATTCAAGTTGTGCTTGGCACAGTTACTGTTTTGTGAAAGCAACTTTTTAGTTATACTTAGTTATCTTTAATTTTAATACTACTCTTTGTTAATAAAAGTAACGTTTCCATGAAATTTGAGCAAATTTTAGATTTTTCTTGCAAAAATATATGCACTTGCACTCATACTTTAGTATTTTCATTGGTTTTTCTAATAGTTTTTCTGTAACATATTGTACTTAATTTTGTAACTGGGGAAAACACATTTATTGCACGTTTCTGAAAAGAATAACCGTACAGTTGCTTTCTGGTTTCATGCCTATTGGAATGATGCAATGCACTTTCTAAATGTACATCTAAATCAAAATGTTGATATCGTAATTGAAGTAATTTCGCCTTTATATATAAGCTGACTGAAATATAAAGTACTTGGGATTCGTGCTTGGATTTGCCTTTAGAGCTAGCATGGTATATTGCTATGAATTCACTTCTCAGCATCTGGAAAATAGACTTGCCTGTGCATATATATTTATGGTATATTTTCTGACACATTCTAGGAGCACCAAAATTATATTAAAGGTATTTTTTCCTTCTCTCTGTATGTATATGACTCATATTATACTCGCCTTTTATTTTTAGCCATGGTGTACGTGATTTACCTACTACTGTTGAGTCTGTTCTTCAGAGAGCATTTCTTTGCATGCTTGGTGACAACACTTATAACACCGAGGAAAAGCTGTGTGACTTATGTAGCCTTTGGTCAGCCAGTAGAGGCCACTCCTAGCTTGCTGCTGAAGCTGGACAGTGATTTGAAAGGGGGGTTTGCTGTGTGCGGGTGGTTTGTAATCCCCTCTCGGGGAGCTTATACTGTCGTGAACTGTCATAGTATTCAGGCTTGTACTTGCAAAGATTTCTGCTTACAGGTAATTCTGCTTATGCACCTAAATGCTTCCATTGCTGAAAGCCGGCAAAATCAAAAGTTAAATGCATTTAATATCGGTATTTTCTGTTTCCTCTAATAAGTGCAGTTGCAGTAGAATTAAAAATCAACTTTAACAATATGCTTCAAGCACTCTTAAAGCATATGCCTTAATGATGGGATGTTTTTATATCCTTTACTTTGGTACAGTCTTCACTGTTAACTACGTTACAGTAATGAAGTCAGGAAATACTGCCCCGTTTGTCTGGCTCTGAGGGGAGGGTCGGCTTTGTACGTTTTCTGTTGTTTTTGTTTCCCAGTAAGGAGCTGAGCTGAAGCAAATGATTTGCCAAAGGCCAAAACAGAGAGAGTTTCACAGGACAAGGAGTTGAGCCCGTATCGCCCAGGTCAAACCTAGTATCCTGATCACCGTGCCCTGCCCCTACTCTCTATACCACTGTGTGCTGACTTCAGTTATTGCTGAAGAATTTAAATGTAAAACCCAACATTTCTGGTCATTTTTAACCTGTAGTGATGAAATCCTAGCGTTTCTGAAGTCAAAATCTTGTTGCCTTAATGAAGCTAAGATTTCACCCTAGACCAAGTTTGGTATCAAGCGTGCTCCTTAGCTTTAGTCACATTCAATAATGAGAAATACTTCCACTTTTCATACTTGTTACAGTTACCTATGATGTAACTATATCACTATGAGTTTGGTTATGTTCAGTTCTGAGATAAACCACCTATATAATATTAATTATCTCCTGAAACTGCGGGCAATTAAACATACTACTGAGCAGCTTGAAAGTGGTTGCTGGACCTTTCTGAGGCGTTTTAATGTCTCATAGGAATGAGCTTTTGAAAACGGAATTCTGTTCATGTTGTATATGAACTTTAGAGTGTGCTGTGGCATTTTTTTCCAAAAGTGCCATCAGAAGATCTGGGAAAAATATTGTTATATCTTTTACCACTCAGAAAAAAAGAAATGGATTCTTTGCTGTATCACATATGGCACATACAGTCTGCAGCACAGTGTTTGATAGGAATCAAAATGTGCTTTTTCAAATTGCACTTAACTTGCCTATGACTCAGACATTTCTGCCAGCACAGAGGAGTAGATCTCTTCACAGCAGTTACATTACAGCTAAAACAGAGGTCTGGTATAACTATATTAAGTGCACTGATGTGACTATATTAAATGCACTAAAGTAGTGTAGCTAACAGTATGTAATCATTTTAAAATACTGTGATAGCATAGCCAGGCACAAAATACAAACATTTCCTGGAAGTAGGTGAACCACTGTGATCATAAGAGGGACAAACGGGGATGGGTAGAGTTGCATGTAGACAGCATCCAAAAACTAAATATTGCCAGGCAAAACACAAGACAAGTACAAGATAAGTCCTCCCAAATACACAGGCAGGATGGAATAAAACAAGATCAGCAGCATCAGGAGTTGAGGAAGCCTCTTCCTTCAATCGCATAAAAATACCAGGCATAAGCAAGGAGAATTTGATGAGAAGGGGCACAGGCTGCTTCACTTGAAGCTTCCGTCATCAAGGAGCTCTCTGTCCCGCTCACCTTGACCTCTGGGACTAAGGACCCCCAAGGACTAGAGACATCAGCGCTAACTACATGGCATCAGCTCCGTGGTATTGGGTGCTTGCAGCTAATTTGGAATGTGCTTGTTAAAGGAAAGCAGTTTTGTATATGTGATAATGATGTTTGATATTGTGTGAGAATTGACAAGTGTGTTGTTAAAGACTGAATTCAGTAAAGTTGAAAGCAGGCCTGAATTGTAAGTGCTAAACACATGTTGTGATCTTAATTCCCTGTTAGACACACACACACACACACACACACGCTTTTATTTTGAAAAGAAAAATAGTTGTGTACAATTTCAGTACTCTATATGCCTAATTGCCCAACAGAGAGCCAGTGCTTCCTTTAACTTCTGATTTTTGTCTGAGACTTATTAACCTACAACAGTTGCAGGCAACTTTGCATTCTTTTCTGCATGAGCAGAGGATCTGGGCAGTGGAGCTGGTGGTTCTGCTCTCACTGTGGTTCTGTCTGCTGCTTCCTGCTGCAGCCATTAATGCTCCATTCGATGGAGAGTCCAAAAGGCTCCTCAGTAGGTTTTGCTAATAGTGACTTAGCAGAGAGGCAGTAGGTTTATTTTTTCATCACTGGATGGCAGTTTTACAAATATGAATCTCGCAATAATCACCATTCAGTCTTACATAAAAAGATCTATGCAGGCATTATGCATTTAATTTTGCAAATGTTTTATGGCTCCTTAGTTACTGAAGTTATCTAGGGTACATCAGTGAAACTTGCACGAGGGCACTTTGATCAATTGTAGCTATATTCCGAGCAAATTCATATTCTCGTGTAATTTAGTGGAAAGCCATATTTCTTCATTTTATATGTTATTTTAGAACTGGCAATTTATCAAGTGAGATTTCTTGAAATTTCTGTGCTTATTAAGTTTTGGATTATGTATCTTGAGTGAGCCGAAGACTTAAACTTGTTTCCATAAGTATGGCTGCAAGTAAACAACCAATTTTAGTCTAGAAAATAGCTTTTGCTTCTGTCAACATGTTGTTTATTTTCTCCCTGAGATAAAAAGTTCAGTTTTCTGATATTTGTACCAAGATAAAGTCAGTAAACAAGATTAATATAGTGTGGAAAAGGTTGTCAGCAGCCCTGGCAAAGGAAATAAGTTGCCTGTACACAGAACATACTGTAAACTGAATAAAAGTGTCAGGTCCACCATGAGATAATGTGATCATGAACCTCTAACAAAGCATGACATAGGCACAGTCGGCTTTTCTTATAGCCACAGTGTAGAAAATGGATTACTATATTCCAGGGATACCCACTGGAATAGCATGAAAACCTCATTTTGAGATTAATGCAGGATGTAACTCTCAAGAGTTGAGCTACGTGCTTACCTATAGTATTAAAGCAAAAGTTTAGTTATCAATCTTCAAATTCAGAAACTATATATTTAAAATATTTATTTTGCCTTTCTAGATCTGTTCTTGAGAATTGGTGTTTCTTACTCTAATTTCAAGATAAAATATAACATTCCAGAAGTTGTTTTGTAAAGTTTGGTCACTTTTATTATTATTTTGAAGCTGTGTAAGGCCTCAGTAAATCCAGTAAAACTGCAGGTTCCTGTTCTGGAAAAGCAGTAGCTGCTCTTCTCCCTTGTGTGGTCTGTGCTGGAGGTGGTCCTTGAGGTAGCAACATTGTGTAGTTGCTATGATCTCCTTTAGCAGGGGTTAGATATTTACCTAGACTCTTCTGCAGAAAGTTATTATTAATTCTCTTCAATCACCACCATCCAGAAAAGCCACAGCACTTTGGGGTACCTCAGTTTGGTCCTTAGCGATGTTATTCTGTAGGTGAAAGTTAGAGATTTTGGCTAAATACTTTAACTCTGTGGAACTTGCCCATTATTCAGTACCTGTTCTTTGAAACTTTTCCAGTCATGCAGCACCAAATGCCCTGCTTTTTACAGTGTAAATCATGTGAGAGTAGAGATTTTTTTTCTTTGGAGGTGGAGTGCCTTATCTTCTCACAAGGAATAGACTGCTTTTATCTGTGTGCCTCTGCTTACGCACCTTCCGGAAGCCCGAGCCATATATATGGTTATTTGCAGAGCTTTTGTGGTCTCCTTTCACACTGGGGGAATGTCTGTCTTCTGTTCCCCCTTTCGTCATCTGCTATGAAACTATTTCCAAGGGAACCAAACGTTTGTAAATAATTTATTTTCTGATAAATAATCATTGTGTGCTTATATTGCATCATAATTCAAATATTTATTTTCTTACTTGCCTCCTTCAGATTACTCCAGGACCAGGTGGTAGCAGGAAAGCAGTTCACATGTCCCAGGATTCTCTCCACCACGAGTGAGTATCATCAGAGATGGGAGTTACAATTGTTCCTATTAATGCTTACATTACAGTAGCACCTCTGTCCCCAGACTCATTGTGCAACTATATAAACAGGCAATATGAGAGCCTCAGCTCACATAGCGATTCTTTAATAACGGTATTTATAATCCTTTGTAATTCATTTTGTATTTCTTACTCAAACATAAGGTTCAGTACCTTCTAAATTAATTTTAAGTATATACTTATGTAAAGAATGTTCTTTAATTCAATATAATAGGCTAAAATAAATATAACTGATTGTTTGAAATGCTTATTTCATTTTTTCCAAAGAAAGAAGTTTCAGGAATGCCATGTTAGAAATAAACAAGCGTTGCATCTTTGTATCATAACCATAATGTATCATGCGAGGATGAAGGTTAACATAAATTTCCATGTTGAATTCCAGGTTGAATTAATTTTTGGACACATTTTATTAAGAAATATCTTTCAGATTATTTAGATATTCTGGTGCATCATCAGTATAAACTGTGATTCTGTTCAGTGGACAACATTAGCAGTGCTGCTTCTTTATTACTCTTCTAAATAGTAAGATGAATTTTTCCAAACAGGAAATCTAAAACACAAGGCCCGTATGACTAGGAAGCATACTTGAGGGTATGTTTACTTGTTCTGACTACGAATGGATATATAAAGCCTGCAGGACCAAAATCAGAGTTTAAAATCCATACTCCCCAAAATATGTATAGTGGAAGCATCAGTTCCCCAATATCAGCTGTCCTAGACTGATATAGATCTTAGCTAAAGAGATTGTGATTTCATAGTTATTTCTCTGCTAGCATAATTCAGCTGAAACTTTCTCATAGTGGATTTTACTTTTTTGTTTATTTTATGAGAAAAAACAAGCAAACAAAAAAAAATAGAATTGTAGAATGGGCAAAATTATCATAATGAATGAATGTCATTCACAAACCTGATGGTTCTTTTTATGCACAGCCACCATCAAAGTTGTGTTTACGTGAAGCCTCCCTCGGTGTTCCACAATGTTTAATTTACAACAAAATTTGTACTGTTCCATATAGTTCCATGAATATTTTATATCCCTCATATATTCATGCCTAACTTTTATCTCCAAGTATGCTTTTAAGTTTATTACTATTATCATTGTTGCAACTTACAGACTTGAGACTTGGAAAAGCAACGAGTAGTTTAGGCCAGACGAGACAATTCTGTGACTTTGCTTCTCCTCAGAGTATATTAATAAAATAAAAAAAAAATGTGGCACTTTGTGGCTGATATAGTACGCTGTGAAAAAAAAATGATCATAATCTAAACTTACTGATTTTAAACTGTACTGATTCGAATTACTTCAGAAAAAGGGGAATCAAATGAGTAGGTGAAGCTTGCAATCTTTCACTATATTGTCACTTGCAGAGGACAATGTAAATGGTGTGTTGGTCTTTCTCTGCATTATTATAATGGATGGAATTATCTTACCCCATCCCCCAAAATCCATTGCTAAATGATAGGAGCTCTATGTAACTCCAGGACCTCTTTGTTTTAATGTTAGTTTTCTTATCCGCTTCATTCTGCAAGTGTTAAAATTTGGCCCTGGGTTTGCATAATGCTTGCTCACAGCTATGTTCATATGTGAATTCAATTCAATATGATCATAGTGTATGGAAACCCATATCCTTATCCTGTTATATCAATTAAGGAAAGATTTTTTTGTCAGCTCTTGTTCTTACATGTCAACCTATTATTCCAAACTTTTATCTCTGAGAAATAAGACCACCAATAGCACAAATTGTGCAATTGTATTGAGAAATGAAGCCACTGTATTTATTGACTTTGAACTCAGTCTTTAGATTGAGACTTCAGTTTGTGAAGCAGTACTAGCCCACAATACTTAAAAATATTTTTAAGTATGGATGAATATAGATAGAATTATCTTTATTAATGACACATGCATTATAGAATATTAAATAACACATGCATGTTAATAAATTATTAGCATTTACATAATATTTTATGTTGTTTGACAAAACATAATTACCTATAAAGCCATGCAAGTCACATGAAATTTGTAGAGCTATGTGCATTCTTTTAGTTCTTTCAAAACTGCTACAAACATTGAGAGTTCAGTAGTATATCCCATTAAAATAAAGCACAGCCAAAGGCAGTGTTTTCCTGGCAGACAATAAAATACCCAAAAGCACGCACATACTGGTCATATGAGAGCATGTGCTTTGTTAGTTAGATTGTTAAACCTGCCTTTTCTTTTTCTCCCACAGCCATTGGTTTAGCCCTGGGGCTAGGAAGGAACATAGCCAGGTAAGAACTGCTTTGATCAAGAACAGTTTACTTGGATATATAAAGGAATTTAACTACCTCTTCTCCAGATGATTTTTTAAAATGACAAGACAGATTTAATTTCATCTTTTCTTTTTTTTTTTTTTTTTTTTGCACAGAAACTTATTAGCAGCAGTGCATTTCAAAAAGTCCTTCAGTTGATTAAAAATCTTTAAATAATAACCTTTTTAGTCAAAATATTTCCTTTTTAATTTAATTTTGTTGTCAGTGTTGGTATGTTCTAATGTTATGCTTCTGTAAATTCTGGAAATCAAAATGTGTGACTCAAACTCCAGAAATACAGAAGAATTATGAAAGTACACAGGCTTCAGGAAGTTCCTTTTTTGTGTGTGTGTGTGTTACATTGATTAAAAAGACCTCAACAGTAAGAAAAAAAAGACTGCTGGTACTGGGGAGAAAACCTACCGTTTTGCCTGCTGAAGAGACCCTAAGGTGAAGTCGCTCCGAGGCGAGAGCCTAGAGGTGTGCTTGGGAGAGTGTGAAGGCATGGTCCTATTGGAATAGCAACGTGGCACTCTATGCGGCAGCAAGGTGCAAAAAGAACATAGCTAGACATTTCAAAAAGTGAAAATAAATCTCTCTTTATTTTTTAAATATTTAGTTAAGTTCAATTCAATAAAAGAAACTGAATATAATGGCAGTGCTTTGAAATTCAAAAGCAGAATTCCTTTGTGTATTTTTAAGTTGTTTAAAAATCGACATAATCCATTTGATTTAATTAGATCTGTATCAGTGCACTGGTACTTATACACATTTAAATAGATTCTAAGCATCAAAAAGAAATAAGTTACACAGAATCTTTTAGAAAAGTCATCTTGGGATGAACCATCCTGAACAAACAGTTCTAGCTCCCATAGGTTAGATGTTAGATCAGAGTATCTGCTTTCCCATTCATCTGTTGAACTCCGGAGAAACTTGCATCTTTTAAAGTCATTTTACTTCCTCAAAATTGTCATAATGGAAGTTTTAGCTATAAAATTTATGTACTTCTAGCATACTACAGAAAGCTGACCAACAGTAATTTAAATGAACAACTTTATATGGTTCACATTTAACTTGCGTCATTTTGAAATATATTTTTTAGTACAACTAACACACTAAGTTAATCATGCTTTGAGTTAAATAAGACAAAAAGTTCCCTCGGGCTAATCTTCTTCCTGTTTCTGAAATAGACTACCATAGCTGCTAGGTTGCTGCTACCATAGCTGCTAGGTTGCTGCCATAAGTAGTCAAATTTATTAATTAGAATGAATTTGAGTACTTTTTAAGTGTATTATTTTATATATTGTCTCAAATAAACAGAATATATGGTAGTGTCTGTTCTGCATGGTTAGAGTTTGAAAAACCTCTATTTGGCCTCTATAAATAAATTAATTCATTTTTTTCCTCAGATAATAGTGAATTTAAGTTATTTTTAAATTTTGCATGTTTATTTTGCATTTTCTAAATTCTATATTTTCAGAGATAATCTGATATTCGCTTTATTTAGAATTTATAAACTAACCATAAATCCTGAAGTACAACTAGTATCATCAAACCACAGAGGTGCTACTACTGCATAGTCTTTCACTTTCCAATATTGTTTTAAAATGCTAAAGTTTTTACTTTTTCAGTTATTTTAGGGCTTTTAAACTGTCACATATATGTCACGATCTTAATTATTACTGTACTTTAACAAAATAAAATCAAATGATAATTTTTAACTGTTGGTGACTGGTTGAAAACTATAGAAATAGCAGCCAATTAAGTTCAGAATAATGCTTTGAAAAAGTAAATAAAGGAATTACTTATAGATTGTTCTTAACTTTTTTGGATAGCTTCAACTCCTGCGAGACAACCGGTCAGAAAGAGGACACAAGAAGAACAGCTCAGTAAAAACAGCTAGCAGGTCAGTTAATGCTGCAGTTGTCATTTTTTTTCTTTTTTAATGTTAACATTTTATAACATAGGAAATTACAGAAATGTTTCTCTTCCTATGCAGAATGCCTCATCCAATTTTATGTTATCTTGTAAATATGATGGTGTGATATCCAATTACTTTTTGAAAAAGGCGTAATAGGTTTGTATCATTATGTCAGACTATGCTTTTGAGTGCCCTTCCAGGTGTTTATCTTTCAATATATACATGGTCATCCTGAAATAAGCTTCGAATGTGGCTAAATACTTGCTTTGATTAATATTTGCTTTGACCCTTTTATCACAAATATGCATATTACGTATGAATCTATTTTGTTGTACACAAGTCTTGCTTATACACTCTAAAAAACTGGTTGTGCAAGTTGTGGTAGTTCATCTTCAGAAATGGTGCCTGTCTTTGTCTATTAGGACCTTTTATACATGAACTGAGAAGTCTTGTACAAGGTTTCTTGCATGAGTAGTGTCAAGTTGTATTTTTGCTCAGAACAGGAATTACAAGAGTCCACGTTGGATGTGAATGTTCATCATAAATGCACATTTACTACTGGCCTGCTTACAGGAAGCTGAGATATAAAGTTGGTATAAAATGAGTGTTAAGAAGCAGGTTATATATTAAGTCATTTTAGGGTTATATTAATGCTGTAGCAGTGTAAAATGTTTTCTGAGGTCAGAATCATAACTTAGGCATTTATTAGTCTGTCCAATGAAGCTCTTCAATGTTTGTTACCTATGCAAGCAGTAATTATAGAGGTTTTTTAAATAACACTAAATATTCAGTGAACTTCATTCTCTCTTCATATCTAAATCAGGTGTAGGTTAGTAGACTGTTATCCTAACAAACACCTGGCAGGGTTGTGGTAAAGCAATATGTAGCTAATTCAAGAATGATGACTGTCATTTTCCATAAAACCTTTCAAGAATTATTAAAGTAAGACTTCCATAAACCACTAATACAACATATGTAAAACCAGAGCGTATGCCGTAATTCCCATAAAAAGAGCAAAGTCATCTGCGTGCATGTCCTGGCATTATCACTTCTCTTATCAAAGGCTTCTTCCTTCAGGTAGAGAGAGCTTATTTCATAGTAATTATTTGTACTTTACTCAGAAAACCACCTTTTTGGGTTTTTTTCACCTGTCATAAAATCTTTAATATTAGTTCTTTAAATTGACTTGAACAATCTCAAACTTTATGTAATGTTATGATGTAGTGTACTTAACAGGCTACCTGCTGTCACAGAATCTCCAGTAATTGCTTACAAGACATATTTTGAACAATTTTAACACTCTTACTACTATTTATACTTACTTTACAGGTAATTTTAATCTACAAAGAGATACTTTCCTATTGATTACTTTGAATTCCATGAACAGTACTGAATATTGGTGATGTAGAAGCTGTTTTTATTTCTCCCATTTAGTCTTGACGAAGTTGTCTGTTTCCCTTTCATTAGGACAGGAGCAGGCTCCCCTCAAATCTAGCCACACCGTTTGTAGATATGTCTGTAGCTACCTATTTTTGTCCTCTACTCTTTTGCCAGTGAAGTGAGGTTTTGTCTGTCCTTTTTTTTTTTTTTTTTTCAGGCAAAACCAGTTTGGTTTGCTCCACTCACCTATTTAAATTAAATTGGCTGGTTTGGTGCAAACCAGATTAGGGAGCACTCACATGATTTCTTCCTCGGGCAGAACTGTGGAGATGATAATCTCCAGCAGATGTGTGATAACAAATAGCTTGGGATAGTAATGTCTTCATCTGGCACAGTTGTTAGCAGACCAAATGTCTGTCTGTGGCCCGAGGCTGCGGGCAAACAATTGAACATGATTGAGTTACGTGGAGTTAACAAGTTGCTGCTTGGCAGCTGAACTGCTTTAAGGGAGCACGTGCTCACTGGCTGCATGCTGCAAGCAGGAGGCAAAACACATGGTCTTGCTCTCCTGTAAGATTTTGCAAAAAAAATAAGAAGGAAAAAAAAGAAGAAGAAGAAAAAAAATCTTGGGGCTAAGAACATTGGTTTTGTCAGCCAGGGAGGCAAAGTTGAAGAGTAATTTGCTGAGCTGCTCTAACACAGTCATGAGATTATTTGATTAAGTACTTAGGGAGCCCTAGTCACACAACTCTCTGCCTGTCTCTTAATATATTAGTCCTCACAATACCCCCTCTGAAGTTAGGAAGTACTTGTATCCTCATTTGACAGAAGGAAAACCAGAATATTTAAGTGGCTTAATACTTCGCTTTGGGACATGCAGTCAGCGGCAGGACCAGTTTATGCTGTGAGCTAGATGTGTCACAACTGCTGTTTGGGGAAACAGCAGGTTCCCAATTAAGTTAAGCTTGTACAATGCATAATGGTCTTCTGTCATATTCCTTTTAGAGTGCGGTCCTGGTAGGTAACTTTATTTTGCCTGAATATGTATTTCTTCTTACTGCAGCGCCAGGTTTATGATACATGCATCTTATAAACCAAAAAGTTGTGATCTTAACAATTGCTCGTTAGCTTACCATTCTCAAATGTTCCCCCACCAATCTTTCAAAGAAGAAAAGCTTCTTCCAGATTTTATGCCTTTCGGTCCTGGTTTGCAAGAAGGTTAAGCCACACTCCCAAAAGTGATTTCCAAGTGGAGTAGCTTTGTGCAGGCGAGGTTTAAACTAGCTGGTTGGCGTAGTGTTAATCATCTGGGCAATGTAGCAGCAGCTCAGTGTGAGAGAGAACCACTTTGTGCAGCTGCGAAACAGCCCCTACGCTGAGCTAGATGTGCAGCCCTGATACTGCCCTAAAGATCACCAGGAGCTCAGCCACTAGAGCAGGGTGGAGAGAGGACGTCGTGCCACTGCTCCCCTCATGCCCTGTTGCTGCTCCAACGGGGCTGCTCCGTTCTTGCCGTGGTGCTCAGCCCACAGCATGCGTGGGAAGGAGACCCTCAGGGAAAGAAGGTGCTGGAGACAGGGCAAGACATGTTATATACAGGACAAAATGTCCGCTGCTCCGCACATGGTGATAACTATCAACAGAAATCATAGGTTGTCGTTCATAACTTGTCTCTTTTCTG